AAAGCAAGCAGGCTGCTTTGCCTGCCAGCAGCCACCCCACAGCCAGCAGGATCTACACCTATTGCAACAGCCAGCCACAGGGCAACACTCACTGCGATCCCTTCCCCATCCAGAAAAGCCAAGAGGAATGCGAACTGGGCAGTTGAGCGTTTGATAGATTAGATCAGCTGGCAGGGAAGTTATATTATAATATATTATATATCCCATGAGCAGAACAGGGTCTCTGCAGAGCCTAAGTGGGACTCCCCCCACCTTGCCCCTCTTGCAATGCAGATTACTGCGAGCTGAACTGGGACATGAGCACAGCCAGCGAGGAGCTGCTGCTGCTGCAGGAGACACGGTCGGTGCTCAACGTGTGCGTCCTGCTGGACACCTTCGCCACCTCCTGCCCAGGCTTCAGCTGCTGGCCCCAAGTGGCATGCTCGCGGAGCCTGTGCGAGGGCCGCCACTACTGGGAGGCCGAGGTGTCCGACTCGTGGCTCTGCCTGGGCGCCACGTACAGCTGCCAGCGCCAGGCGGGCAAGAGCCACGTCTTCTACCTCATGGGCAGGAACAGTGCCTCGTGGTGCCTCGAGTGGGACTCGCTCCAGCTCTCTGCCTGGCACGACAATGTCCAGACTGCCCTGAAGGGCGGCTACTACCGCACCATCGGCGTCTTCCTGGACTACGCCGCCGGCTCCTTGACCTTCTACGGCATCACCAACACCACCAACCTCATCTACCGTTTCCTGGCCACCTTCACAGAGCCCCTCTACCCAGCCTTCATGGTGAGCAGCGGTGGCTCCATCACCTTGAAGCGACACCCTGAATAGAGGAGTTTTCTGACACCTTTTTGGGCACTTTTAAAACTTCCATCCATCACACAGTGGGGTGTGATTCCTGGGGGCTGGTGTGGTTTTTGGGCTGGTCCTGCAGCTGCTCTGCAGTTCGTGATTTAGGGCAACCCCATCTCCTCAAAAGACCCAGTTTTCAGGGAACACCATCCTCCTCCCCATTGCAAATGCAGGAAGTTTCCTTTGCAAAGGCAGGGAATTCCCTTCACAAACACACCAGCAGCTTCCCCAGACCCCCAGTAACCTCAGCCAGGCCCCAGCAAAGCCCTCAGGGCTGTTTGCACAGCAGACATCCCTGCACTGTCCCATCACCACTCCCAGGAGGCAACACTGGGACACAAACCCACAGAGCAGCACAAGGCAATGCAGCAGGTTGGGGGCAGCAGTCAGGAGAGAGGGGCCAGCCCACATGCAAACCCCATACAGGCACCCACCACCCCAGGCACTCCCCACAGAGGTCTGCTCTCAGGGAAGAGAGATGCCTCTGACCCAACAGAAGCTGTCAGCACACACTGGTGCCAGCTGCCCTCCTACTCCTCATTTCCCATCTCCATGCCAAGCACTGTAACTCCCAATATTGCCTAATGGGCATTAAGCTGGGTCCAGTAAGTGCCAAGAGTAGGATTTCTCACCTGATTAGTACTAATCACCCACATTATTGGTGATTAACAAGTGCAAAGCAACAAGGAAGATTGAAGGTCCACCAGGGAAAGCACCAAAGCAGGTCAACCTAAAGCATGGACTGGGCCAAGGACCTGAGCTTAAATGCAGCTTGAGAGCAACACAGGTGGAGGGTGTGTGGGAGGAGACCCCAGATGAGGCTGCTCAGACTAATTAAGACTAATTAGGGCATGCAGGGCCCTGGTACCCCTTGCAGGGGAGGACATGGGAGCGCTGCTATGGGAAGCGCTTAGGAAACTCTCCTGATGAAGTGGCCCTTGGGGGCAGCCCCATTGTCCCAGCTGGCTGCTTAGGGTGGTTTAGACCCTCTCCTTGCTCCAGCTGCAGGCTGCTTGGCTCAGGAACCTGCTTTGAGGTGCTCAGAGAGCTCAGGTTTTGCAGGGCTGGTTTTGCTGGAGAGGGCTCCAGACATCAGACCGCAGCTGGGTGCAGGGGCAGGTCCCTGCCCCAAGCCGCTCTGCAGTCCCACATCCACCATGTCACCAAGAAAAACCCCAAAAA